ATATATATATATATATATATATTATATAAATGTACAAAGAAATGCAAAGGATATAATTGATTTGAAGGAGAACAAAAAGAAAGTAAAGAAGCAGTAGCAGCAGAGGGTGAGGGTGAGGGTGAGGGTGATGATTGATGCACCTTCTGCTTGTTCCCAACAAATGTTTAATTTAGGGTTTATGTCAGTCAGTTTCATGATGTGTATTTCCTAAACTAGTAAACCAGACATCTTGTATCAGTTTCATCATACATGCTTCAAACTCTCCCAGACCCCACCAATATTATTCATTCAATTCATTCTCATCTCTCTCTTAGTTTGTAGGGTTAAGATTTAAGGGTTAGGGTTAGGGTTAGGGTTAGGGTTAGAGAGGTCCCCACAACAGGTGAAATCAAAGGGTATGAAAGGGGAAGGGTTTTGGGGAGTAGAGAAGATGGTGGCAAATGGTGTAATTGAAGACAAGTATGGGATAAAGCAAGGTTTCTATTGGTTAGATGTCACCACTCACCACCATTCCTTTCCCTTTCCCTTCATCCAAAACTATTGGAATATGGAAACAAAGCACACAAACATCACATCCATTTGTTTATTACACCCACAACATTTGATGCTATTATTCTTCTATTTTCAGTCAAAACATGTTGTTCTCTTTTTTGAGGTAATTAAATTTAATGTCTTTATRCATTTCATGGTTTTTAATCTCTATCTTTGAGTTAGATTCATTTGGTTTTAAATTAGATGCAAAAGTAGGCATCATATCATTGAAAGGTTCGTCTAAAATAACTCTTAATAGTTCTATTAAAAGACATTTTCTGTATCGTTAAGAGGTGAATCTTGTTTGCCAAAAAAAAAGTCTGTCAATTAATGGTTCTAAAACCCTCTGAATGATTTTGTATAATGAGTCTCCCTTAATCATTCAGTGCCCTAATTTCATTGTAAACAATTATTTTTCATTTTGCATTATATTATGAAAGCATCTTAATCATTTTGTACCAAACAATTCAAAAATATATGTTATATTTTGTTTACAAAGACATGACACGTGTGGTAAAACCATACTTTTTTTACATGGTGGCATATAATTAAAGAARAATATTGTTATAAGAAAAACATTAAGAGGGTGTTTGGGATTGCTTATAAAAAACAACTTATTGACTTATTCCGGTATGACATCGGTAATAAGCATTTTTTAGTGTTTAGATAAACAGCTTATACTAGTGTCAAATCGGTAATAAGAAGTTTTTAAAGAAGTTAAATCATTCTAACTTATAATAAATTGATAAGAACTTTTGTAAAAAAAATATATAAATTGTTTCAAATAAGCAATCTCAAACACCTCSTAAAATAATAAAGAAAACACATATCATCATTGAGTCATGTCATACGAGAACACGAATTATAATTGAATCATGTGTGATTTCACATTAATATTAATATGAAATCACACATTGACATGTGGTTCACGAAGAAGGGATCTTTAAAATCTTTCGTATAAAATCATAAAACAATATAAATACATATATTTATGATTGATSACATAACGTTAATAGGAATATATGAGTAACCCTTTAACATAAAAGCACCAGTGGTCTAGTGGTAGAATAGTACCCTGCCACGGTACAGACCCGGGTTCGATTCCCGGCTGGTGCATTCATTTTTAAAATAAACTTTTCAGTAAATTACATTTTTCATCCCTGTAGTTTGTTAAAAACCGTTATTTTCATCATTGTACTTTGAAATCACCATTTTCATCCTTTTGTTGTACAAATTATTGTTGTTTTCRTCTTTATTATTTATAAATTATTGTTGTTTTTTTTTAAATATAATATTTATATACGGTAAATACAACCAAAGTTCAAAATGGTTTGAGGTGGTGACGTCGAGGTCAAACCTCAAAGCCTTACACATCACAATGAGGACGCGACGTTTTTTAAGACGTGAAGTTGGCAAATTTGTATGTCACATATTGAAATATATGTACATACGTTTTCTGTTATACCATTTAATCAGATAATAATATTAAAAAATTAAATTTACATTCATATTAAAAGAAAAAAAAATCATATAGATTATCATTATAGAAATAGTCTATCTTTGATTAAATATTCAAAATAGTACTTAAGAAGATAATTTACWACTTTGTTTTGATCGTGAGTCTGTGACGTTTATGAATTTATGAAACTGTGAGTGATATGATTAGATAAATCTATAAAARTGTAAAATCTAAAGCYAAAAAATATTTCTTTTTAGTCRCACCTTATAGGAACTCTATGTGCCTTTYCGCAACAAATACACGTCTTGTGTCATATCGCGTTATGATGCGCCTTTTCAAACATTATGCAACAAATAAACCTACATACCTTCCTCATCTTTAATTAGTTTTAATCAATAAAAAATTAAAAAATAATTAAATTTCTTTCACGAGTCAACAAGTATTTTTAAATAAATGTAATGTTATATGAACTTAGTTTAAATTTTATTGTCATTATTAAAAGTTATTATAATTTAAAATTTTAGTGTTATTTTAACTTACTGTAATTTTTTAATTATTTTAGTTTAATTAAGTAATATTTAATTATTATAAAGTTTTGTTATTATAGTTTTTTATTATATAAACCATGGATCAATCCATGATAGACGTGAAAGGTTTATAAAATATGCAGGAAAGAGAAAACAGATGTAACGGAGAGAAAATGATGTGGCAAAAACCATGTAGCTCTTAAGAAGTTAAATGAATGTCGATGTTGTGATCCGCACAATCAGTTTCACCAATCTTTAGATAGATTGCAGGCTGATTATGAAAYACTTACCYGRTAAGCAYWTACCGRTAAATTTCAACACTATCATTTACTTACCATGTAAGATTTTAATTCCTCAAAACGACATRTTATGCAATAATTTACCCGGTAAGYGYTAATCGTGGTAAAAGTCATCACCYTRGCTTACCAGGTAAGACTYTTGGTCCTTGCCTCATTCTTACCGAGTAAGATTCTWGRTYTTACAATATTTCATCCGGTAAGGTAATATGACTTGGTAAGTACTTAACTRGGTAAACATTTGGTAAACAGCCCCTTAATTAGTTGATGATGACTGAGGGCTCGTTTACCACCATCAATCAGATTGAYCTTTAGCTAAACTAGCTGATGTTAACCGAATTGACACGGTCAACAACAGATAAACAGGCCCGTACAAACACGAACAAAATCGAGAAACTATACCATTGAGACGGAAAAATAAAGAATTGCGAGTACAAAATATGGAGAACATGAAAGAGAGAACGATAACGAAAAACACAAGAAACAGTATACAAACAACGATTTTTTATCCAGTACACGAAACTCTATTTCATCAAGATTTCTTTACATAAAGAACCACAGATCATAAGAGCATCATYGGTAGGTTTTGAAACATGGCTCAACCGATCATCGAGTTACCTAGTGAGATAGTATATGACTAGGAAACCCACCACAAACGAGGCCACAAGCGTAAACATCCTCCGGCTTGATTTTGTCTCGAATACCTGATGATCAACACATTTATAGTAACTGCTACTTAGTACCCGAAAATAAGTCACTAAATAACATGATAGACTGTTTTATAGGACTTAAGTTTATAGGACCAAACAATTTCRCGTCTTATATAAAGGTGTTACAGTAAGATGATAGTACAYTTTTKAAATAAAAYGTCCTATAAGTGTTTTATATGATATTATTTGAAAATGTGTCCTAAAAAAAGGTGGTAAGATACATTGTTCAAAAGTGTCTGTAAAAAAACTTTGTTAGAATGTCCATATATGTTCTAACATCCTATTATAAYATTTTTATATCAGTCGCATAATTGTTTTGTCCTATAAACATAAGTCATATAAAAGAGGCTATTAGGGCATTGAGGGTCTGTTTCTTAGCACCTTAATGAGCTTAATGAGACTCGTAGTTTATTCAGTCAGCTATACATGACTATTTGGTAGCTATACATGACTATTTGGTAGTGATGTATAAAATGGCTTATTTAGTAAGCTTCTAGAGGGAGCTTTACGCAAAAAGTCAAGTTTTTCCAAAATATGCTCCTTCCAATTAAAAAACAYGTTTCATCCATCTATGRAAAAACTCTCCCAAACCAAATCATTCTATACGGACAAATTAATCCACACAGATAACTTTATCTATACATGACTTAATGAAAAATCAACCAAACAACCCCTTAGACATCTTTGGCCATAACGCAGTTTATTAGGATATTTAGACATATTTGGCATCCTATAAAGTCGATTTTGTTTTCGCCAATAGACGGGGAAAGAAACTAAAGGAGAAAATCATGACAGTTCAATGATGCATACCATCTTGAATTTATCCATCGTCCCGGAGAGGATACCTCTTGATGAATCCATATYGTTGCCCTAAACGAGGATAACAAATACTTCGATAAATTGACCGATAAAAATACAGATTAAAAGAGTTTACAATTGCAGCATTGTACATACCATTCTATCCAGCATGCGGTTATGACCCTCCACTTCTTCATGGATATCTCCCGTCAACTGTGGACATGATCAACATTAATCTTACTTAGAAAAGATCTTGAATTTGTGGCAAACCATGTTTATGGTATAATCACTAAGAAGCAGTGATACGATGTGGTAAGTAAAATTAAACAATTATACTTCAATTGAACGATTTTCTTGACAGGATCAAAATTGAAGAATAAGCATATGATAACTGAATGCAACAATCAATTGTTTGAACAAACTAGCTGACAGAGACGGACCTAGAAAATTTTCAAGCRGTGGCACCATTTGACTATAAAAAACAAATATAGGGATATTTTTCACAAAATCATAATTGGTTTGTTCGTTAGTTCATTGCTTTTCATATGGGAGGTCATGTGTTCRAGTTTTTTTATTGCAATTTTTTTCTGAAATTAAAAGTTATAAACTAAGAAAATGACACTAATRGGATTCGAACTCGATTACTCGGGTCAGGAGTGAAAGATAAAGTCTTGCAAACCAACTCTACCAACGGAAACTTGTGTCCTCATTGTAGTTTCAAAATATATACGGTGRCACACAACAAATTGATATGGTTGCACTTTTCGAGACACTATAATTTTTGACACTACAACGAACGAAGCGGTAGCCCATGCCACCACATGCACCACCWGGGTCCGTCCTTGCTAGCTGATGACTAGCCATCAGAAGGTGAAATGCTTCCATACAAACAAAAGATGTAGGTCGTACAGATCAGGGATTAGTATTTTCTTGATRGTGTCAATCTCGGGATGCATTTCTATCCAGTTTCATATTAACTATTCTTCTGATGTAGAATGGAATGAGTATGATGTTAAGAAAAATACTTTTTGCAAGACTATATATAGAGGATAGAGAACCCTAATTCCGCTCTCAATCGAAGTAATGACTATGCATGAGACTATTATTGCTTTTTCTTTATGAAGTTATTGTTTCCATAAGATCCAGGGTATAGTTGCTAGAGCTCTTTCCTTACATTGAATCCTAAAAAGGGGCAAGACATCTTACTATTATTTTTCTATGCATGCCCAACCAATTCCGTAAGAACTTACCCTTTTCAGCATAAGAACTCTGTCTTGCAGCCCATCCATTGCTCTTTCATTCTCATGTTCATCTATCTCATGGGAGGAGTAAGAAGAAGAGGCCCTAATACCACCATCTTCAATTTCATCAAAGAGAGCAGATCTGTTTCCACGGAAGTCCCTGCATTGAAAGGATGCTAGTAAACAAGCTACGATGAAATTRATATCCAGGTTAAGACCAAAACTTCACTAAATTGAACCATACAAGATCAAATTGATGCAAGTAGTAAAAATGTACACATAAAATGAACTCCGATCACAGTTAATAGAACATCATTGAGACTATAACCACGCCTTAGGCAAACAAACAAAAAAATGGGTGAACACTCAAACCTCCTCTTCCAAAGAGGGCCACCCACCTATGTATATTTTTTGATTTGAGATAGCGACCAAGAAAGGAGGTTTGCAGACAGCTTAATACAATGTAATGCTAGCAAATAATATTGCACATTGCAGACAACAAATTATGTAATGTGGTGCTGATAACAAAATGCAATGTGTCAAATTTACATGAATAATGCAAATGGTTATTGGCACATGCAGGTGGGGATCATTGTTCTGCTAACCCGCTGGAAGCAACAAGAAATRCCTTCAAACATTATATGACAAGGAGTCGAAAACCGTAAAAAGATTCCTACATCTCTGCTTTATGATGAGAAGTTCCAACTAGTATTGACCCTTTTAGAATAAGGGTAACAAAGCAATGCTGTTTCTACATGTTCTATATCATATTTGATATTTCACCAAACAGGGAGACTCTTGCAATGTGGCTCTTATGCACGTCCAACTCAGAAATGTGTCTTTTCTTTCTTGTTCCTGATGCCTAAAGAGATTTCACTTATCATTGTTATCAAATTCATGTGTCCTGGAACAGTCTGTCAATCACATCAACTTCAGATACTGCACCGGTATCAAGCCTTTGTCTTCTTATCCAAAATCCGAATGATAAGTTCTGGAATCTAATTATGCTTAGTTTTCCCTTGTTTTTTTCATATTCGCGAAGAAGGCTAGATATATTGACAGTCCTGACTTGTTTGATATGAGTCAGATTCAGCATGGTAGCATTCACATCTAGACAAATCAATGTGGCACAATTCACCTTTTAAATGTTTGAAAATTGCAATCAGCTAAGGCTTGGAACACATGCATAAGACCCATCTTGTCTGAATCATCAATTGAGAAATAGAATTTAAGTGAGGATGATGACTGAATTTATCTTGAACATGGATAGGATAATAAAAAAAAAGGGGGGGGGGGGGGGGGGGGGGTGTACTCACCATTCCAACACCCCCCACCCCCCTTCACTCAATCTTCTCAAAACTACTCCTGGATCCATAGAACTCAAGCAGAGACCATTCTTAAGAACACCACTTAAAAGACAACTTTATACCAAACTATGCTAGTTTTCTTCACCACTTCATGGAATCCCCCCCCCCCTTTCTTTTCCTAGAGTTCCACACTAGCTTCACGTGCTAAACCACACCAAGAAGCAACAAAGAATGCCAAAAAGAGGAAGCATAAGTGAACCTAACATTWTTAAGGCCTTAACTTATTCCAAGTAACTCAGGCATACAAACACTCTACAAACATGCAATATAACMCCCAAGGATAATGTAAGCAAAGACGATTTCCATAGGAATCGAATACAATCATGTTTACTTTATGTACGCATTCACACGACTAGATCTACAAACACAATCCTACCATTCGCGTACCGATAACTTAGTGATCTAAGCAGCAAATCATACAAACATATGGAAATTAACATTGAATCAAGAAACAGATAACAAATCAGAAGAACAACCTTCGAGTATTCATAGCTAACGATACCAAATCGGTGGACGCAACCGTCAGTGTTTATGATTCTGCAAAAAATCACACAATCTCGATTACCTTTGTTAGGGTTTAATCATAAACAATCACAAACGAAACTCAAAAKTATCATCATAAATCGAACAACAAAAAGGAAAACACAGATCTCCGGTAACATTGATCGGAGGCGGAAGTTGAAATCAATCAAAATCAAGGAGGAGTGATCGGTTGCTTACCTGTTGGGGAAAACTGGAAGAGAACCACCATCCACCGTTATGAAAAAAACAATATAAATAATATTTTGGGCCTTAAATTATTCGTTTTCATATTTTATATTTTATATCTATTTTCTTTATTATGTTTGTGAAACATATGGTATGGCACTAATTTGTTATTTTCATGCGTTTTAAATTTCTATCAGATTAAATAAATCAATATATATATATATATATATTATACCAGTTAAGTTTGTATTAATTAAATTGATATCAATTATAATTGGTTGGTAGTATTGTATCAAATATACAAACTTGATTGGTACATGGTATTGTAAATTGTTTACCGAAGTACTATTTCGTTTGAACATTTGAATATTTGTAAGTTTTTTCTATTGCAATTAAAAACTCTTAAATAGAATCAGTATGATGTTAATATATTGATAGACAAATCTGATTTAACAAATACAATTTTATTTATTTATTGAGACAAAAAAAATGGATGGGAATCCAACGTACACGAGAAGTTA